ACAGAAGGCAGATGGATTGCAATGATCCTTTCTGCAGACTTAACTATTCGTTGGAGTCTGAGTCTGTCCTGTTTGGTTGCATTGGATCTGTCCTGTTTAGCATTGGAGTTTGCCCCCTCATAAGTTATTTTCAATCCTCAACCATGCAGAGTTGCAAACATACGATTTAAGGTTGGCCATTATTTTATGTTCTTCATTTTGTCTGGTTATGGTCCATTTCCTATATTCTTTTAACCTACTTTATTCACTTGCCTTTGACACTTGATGTTTCTAGTTCTTAATGGATTTTTGTTTCCTATCCCCCCCTTTTCTTTTCCCTTCTCTTTTGCTGCCAACTATTTTTCAAATCTATTTAATTTGCACATTTTGCTCATTACTGCATGATGATAATGATTCCTATTATTATTAGCTTTAGAATGACTTCCTTGCTTTGCTCTGCTAAGTCGCTCCATATGCATTTTGGTCGAGCCATTTTAGCTGTATTTTATGACCGGTCTAAGGCTGAGTAATAACTGATTTTAACTTAATCCATATGGTGGGTATGCTCTACAAATTGAGTGGTAGAGCATTTAATCCGTAGAGTTGGAAGAAGACATTCAGGCCATTGAGTTCAATTCCCTGCTCAGTGCAAAAATCCAAATTAAAGCATCCCCTAAAAGCGTTTGCATGTATATCTACCCTGTGCTTGAAGACACCCAGTGAAAGGGAGCCCACCATTTCCAAGCAACTATTTTATACCCTGCTGACAACCATTTCTGCGGAATCCCCTCATTCTCAGGATAACTGGGAAGGCAACGCTGTTTGGTATCTCTGGCACCTGGGATTACAACTCCCCAACCCGATACAGTTGTATTTACTGCTTTTGTTCCGAGCAGTACATACCATAAAGCCTTCCCCTTCCTTTTACACCCACACATCCAAACCACATAAATATGTACTCATGTGAATGTAATGGGCACATTTTCGAGAAATGCACAAAGACTTCCTTCGTGATACTGAATTTTTTTTTTCCCCCTTTGCAACCCGTGTAGATCTGGTATACAGTTGGGGAATCTGTGTAATGTCGAAAAAAAAGCTCGACCTCTAAACCCAAACACGGTTTGAAAGCGCAGCAAAATCGTACGGGCAAATAATAATATCATCATCATCATCATCATCATCATCATCATCGAATTAAATGATACTGCTCCTGGCACGGTTATGGATTACCTGGTGGGATACTAGCT